GATACAGCTCAGTGTGAAGGCCCTGGGTTCAATTCTCAGTACTGCAAAAGAGAGAGAGAGAGTGTGTGTGTGTGTGTGTGTGTGTGTGTGTGTAAAATGAAGAGACAAATCAAATTTTATGTGGAACTTCAGTAAGAACTGGTATTTGTTTGCTACTCATCTTGAAGTAAAAGCTGCCTCTCTGCAGCGCCACCCTCTAGCTGTAACTATGCCCCCGTACCCTAACTCCTCTTTCTACAACAGCAGCTGCATTTCTCCCTATGCTTCCCTAGATGTCCCTTAAGTGACAGGAAAGCTCAGCAGGAAGACTCTGCCAGCTCGCACCAGGTGGCCCTGAGCACCTTTCTTCTGGGGGCAGGAAGCAGACAGCTGGCAGCTGTGAGGGGCACAGGAGGTGGACTCCTGGGCCAAGCCTGCCCTGCAATCTCTCCCTGGAGTTCCATCACTGGATGACTCTAACACGCCCACTGGGTGTCACAAACCAGGGGCCCCCACGCTCACGGGCGATGGGCAGTGATGGAGACCAGGAGATGGGCAGCTACCAGTTTAGCAGCCCGGCCCACACGTGCGGCTGTACCGATCAGCTGGTGGCAAAATCCACTTAGTGAGTCATAACTGGCATTTTTAAAAAAGGAAATGACAGAAAACTTCAGTGCACTTTGGGCTTATTATAGTTTTTAAAACTTTTGCTTCAGAAATACATATATATATATATATATATATATATGCACGTGTGTATTAAGCAAAATATACAAACATCTATTTGATTGTGGGGCTGTGATTTTTTTAAGTCCCACTGGTTAGAGGCCTTTCCCAAATACACACATTTGTACACAAGCATGTAATTACAATGAATGAACACATGCATGTACACACAGTTCTCTCTGTGTAATTTTTTTGGAGATGAGTGTATGCTGCCCAGATTAATCTTCATCCTCTTGCCTCCCATCTCCACCACGCTGGCAGCCAGGAACACAGACAAATGCCACCTCACTTGGTTCTTCATGTCATTATGAAGAATCCCTTAAGCAGCATCTGTTATCCAGAATTGGTGTGAGGAATCCTCAGTGGGGTTACTTAAAAGACATTCTCATAAAGCTTGTCACCAACTCTATTCATCAGCTTATGAAATGACCTCCTAGGTTGGGCATGTCTATGCTGCTCCCAGTCTACCAACTGTGGAGGAAGCCAGGTGTGGTGGTGCACTCAGGTAATCCCAGCACTCGGGAGGCTGAGGGAGGAGGATCGCTGTGAGTTTGACATCAGCCTGGAGCTACCAAGTGAGCTCAAGGCCAGCCTGACTGACCTGCACAGTGAGACCCTGTCTCAAACAGACAAAAAAGAAAAAAGGAAAGAAGAACTATGGAAGAGAGAAGCAGAGCAGTGTGTACTTCCTCGCGGTAAGCCAGTGAGTCACAGGGACCTTGCTTGCACTGGTTTAAAATGTAACACAATGGTAAACACAGCCACATTCCTGACGTCTGAGACGGGGAAGGAAGAGGTGCGTAAAGAAGGCAAAATAGAGTGACAGGCTAATATTTGTCTTAAATATACTAACATCTTCAAGGAAAAGCAAGGCAGTATTTCATGTCTGAATTAACGCCACCTCCTTGGTGATGGTCTCACGCCCATAAGGAGCACAGAAAAGACTCAGCAACCATGAACCTCCGCTGCTTTTCTGTGGTGAAGTAGGTTCCCTCCCGAAGAACAGCACATGGGTGGACAACACAGAGGGAGAGGGCTGCTGACACAGTCCAGGTTCCAGCTGTGACAGCTTTCCAGCACTGCCCTCTCCCATGTTAAACGCTGTCCCCACCCAGCAAACCCTGGGACCAACCTCAGTTGGCACAGAGTCCAGGCCCTGAGGGGTAAACAGCTCCTATCGGGCCGCCTCCCCTTATCTGGTTCACGTATTTCCTGCACCTGCTGATTTACCAGCAGACAGGCTGGGGCCAGCCTGTTTTCTGTCCTAGCTCCGGCAAGCTGGTGATCTGATCAGAAGTTCTGACTACTGTCATCCTCCTGGGCCAGCTGGGCCTGAGGGGACACTGTGCTGTGTGGCCTATAGATGGCTTGTTCTACAAATGTGCTTTCTAAATCCAGCCTGCACTACTGGACAATAACTACTCATCCTCTGGGCACAGTGCTCATCCATCAGGCATGGGGAAGGGAGAAGGCGGTGGGGCAGTGTGCTGGAGACCGCAGTGCATGTGGGGGGGGGGGGGAGAGAAGCAGGCCCAATCCACCAACTACGATTTCAATATCCGTACTGCTATTCTTATTTGGTTCATGGCTGGTGGTACAGTCACACCCAAAGCAAGATATCCGGCCACACTTACAAAATGAAGAGTACAAATTTAGCGCTTATTTTTATAAATTAAATAGAAAACTTTAAGAAAATGTTATTACCTGGTTTGTTCTTGCTGCAGTGTGTTGGGATCAGGTATAAAAAATCTTACTCGAAAATGCAGGGAACAGGGGTAACCTCCTACAACATTTTTCAAAGACAAATTAAGTTTTTCCTTTAAAATGTCAACATACGTAAGTTGTTACGCCTTATAACTGATGTACTTTTCACTCACCCATAGCCTTTTCCCAATGCAAAAGGGCTAATTTCAAATAAGGAGTGCATAAATTAATGACTTGAGAAATCTTCACGTCTGCAAGAAGAATTCACTAGCCTCTGGACTACCATATTATCTATTTCTCATTACATGTTTAACTTAGGGTTATGTTCAAACAATGCACTCCATTACCTGTAATAAGAATTCTATAAATCCTTAAATCACCATCTTATGCAAAAGTCCCAAAGAAATAATGGCTTACATTAACACAACAATTTATACTTTTCCAACATTCTCATATACCTTGTAGACTTTCAACAACACTAGGCCTATTGTTCAGCTGAGCTGAGGTCCCTGTCTCACAAATGAGCCAACAAGCTTAGAGATGTGAACGACTTGCCTCTGGTCACACAGTTGGTGGCAAGACTAGAATTACAGCACAGAGGTCTCTGATACTGCTATGAGACATTTCAAGATATTCTAATATTGGAAAATATTTCACGCTTTAAATGTAGAGCACATTAAATGATTAACGTTAATGTTAGTGAATATCAGGCAATGAAAATATTCAAATATGACTTTATGTAGCAACATTAAGAGTCAGTTCATTTGTGTGGCTACAATTAATCCATTTCTCCTAAGAGGTATGGCGACAAAAGATCTGACCATGCCGTGAGCTCGCGTGACCATTCCCACGTCCATTTTGCCTGCGCCAGCCTCCTCTGCGTGCACAGCACTTTCTTATTCTGAGTCTAGTCCTTGAGCCTGCTCCCCTTGCTGCTCCTGCTGCTTGTCCTCTACTCTGGCACATTCCACACTCTGCCTACCCACAGCTTTTGTACTTTCCAGTTTCACCGCTGGCTGGAAGTCAAAGCTTCTCTAATGGTGGGTATACACCTAGGTATATCTCTGTATAGGGCCTGGGTCTAGTGGGTAATTATAACTCTGTTCCAGTTACTGTAACTCTGTCTGCAGGCTCAACATCTGCAACTCTGGGGACAGGGGAATCCTTCCATTGTCCTGGGAGCACTCCCCTCCCTATTTTATAACTTGTCAATGCTGTGGCTCCGGGACAGTCTGTCTTTCTCATCCACCTCTGGGCACTCAGAGCATCCTATCTTGTGCTCTGCACTGTCATAAAACATTCTTTTCCTGTTCCGCCTATGTCCTCTCCTCCTTGGCTGACTAGTATTGGATTTTCAGAGCTTAGTTCACTGCCTTGCCAGTCTGAGAGCTTAGGAATGCCTGCCAGAAGAGTGAGTTACAGAGAGAATGAACAGTGGCGCCCATCCATGCCTCCTGCATGCTCATTCTTGCTGGCAGATGTTTACTTGCAAGAGGCTTTGTGACTCCCTGCATACCCCTGAGCACTAAGGACATAAGCCATGGGAAGTAAGAACTTTGAGAACTTAGCCCCAGATAAGGGCAGCAATGGGAGAAGAGCCATGGCCAGGGCAGGTGCACATGCAATTGTGTGCATGTGCACACGCATGCACAAATCCACCTGCCTCTTACCCCTCTCCCATGCACTGACTGCCTCGTGGGTGTCAGGGGCCAGGAAGGATGCAGGGAGGAGGAATGTAGCAAGAGTCCTAATCTCAAGGGACCTGCAGCTCTGAGAGGAAGCTACAGGTACATAATTATGAGATGGGGCAAGAGTGTTCAGCCATGGAGTGGACACTGATAAGTGACAGGGAAAGTAGAGGAAACCATGGCTTCAGCAGGAGAGATGGGGTGTGAGCTGCCTTGGAGAACAGCAAGGGGTAGATCTGGGGCACAGGGTGGGAAAAGCACTCCCAGCAAAGGGAAGACATAGAGGAGGCTCTGCAGACTGGCCAGGTGTGTTCCCAAAGGGGAACAAGGACAAATAAGAACAGATCAAGGCACAGGGTCGGTGAGAAGAGGCCTGAACAGCCACTTAACTGAGTGCTCTGAGGTCATCATAATGGATATGCTGTGTTTCAGCAGGGTCAACAGTCCCTATTTGTGGCACTGTCTACCTTTGGCTTAATTTCCAGGGAATGCCATGGGTCGCTGGAAAGTAAGGGGTCTGTGTCTCTTTCCCACCCTGGCTCTCACAGAGCTGAAGAAGGCCATCTTTTCCTGCTTGCTTGCTTTCTTCCTTCCTTTCCTCCTTCCTTCCAAAACCACACATGGGTTCCCCTGCTCTGAGCTGCCTGCTCTCACCTGGCCCCTCCTCCCCACACCAGCGAGGATCTCTGTCTGCTGACTCAAAAGAGAGACTGAGAACTCATCTCACCCCTGTCTCCTGGGTGCCCAGAATCCAGGCAGCAGATGTTTCAGGCACCCTAATGAAGGAGAGACACAAGCTGCCAACCACCTAATGTATAACTGAAATGAAAAGCCACACCAACCTTTCAGCTGCTTCCTGATAGGTTTGCTTGATTCAAGCCATCTCTGTTGGGTAAGAAAACACAAGTTATAAAACCAAGTCCCGCGGGAGTTCAGCACATCTTACAGGCTGGCACTTACAGGGGAGTCTACTGAGTCTTCACCATGTTGCAAACCAAAATACTCCTTTTCCGTCACACCCAGGTGGGCATACGCCATATCCAAAAGTGACTGGCCAGTGTCTTGTTTCTAGAAAGAAAAAATAAAATAAAATGGGCATAATTTTAAAATGTATTAAAAACTGATGGTGACAATGTCTTTATTATAGGCAAAAGAAAGATTAACTATTCAGATTTTCAGGCCCGGGGAGATAGCTTGGTAGAATAGGTGCTTGCCTGGCAAGTACAGGGCCCTGAGTACAATCCCCAGTACTGAAAAAAAAAAATCAGATTTTCTGTGTGCACACTTCACAGAGAAGCAAAAGGGTTCATAAATGTCAAGTTATGAGGCTGTACAATATTTACAGGAAAGAGCGCCAAGACAAAACCACACCGATATGATGAGTTTAGACCAACTCAGCTTTCTAAGAGTTCTTCCTTCCCTTTAGCTGAGGTTCTCAAGTGATGTCTAAATGAGGAAATTCTCATGTTATAATTGCAGTAAGCTCACCATGACCTGGCTGTGGATTATCCACAGCAAATGCTAATCCCGGGTCAGTTTCTGTTGGCTCCTGAGGTTGCGTCTGCAGCTCTGACACCTGGAGGAACCAGAAGTGTGTACAACAGGAAAATTCTCAACTCATAGCTAAAAATACTCAAATGCCACTCAAACTATCCTCTCAGTGATTTGGCTCGTGCCGCCATGCAAAATTGTCTGCCTTGCTGCTTCCGCTATCTGAAGTGAGAAGCTGGTAGGGACCTTCAGTGGCCTTGACCTGCGTAGTGTGTGCTGGGTGTGCCTGGCATGGGCACTCAGACAGAGTCACCATAAGCATCCTTTCCTGGCCTGGCCGTGGAAGCAACTGTAACATGGAGTGACAAATGCTATCTAGTGCTCTGAAATCAAGACACAAGCCACCCAAGGGCATGACACAACACACCAGCTCTTCGTGGACACAGAGGGAAGCAACCCCTGATCCAGATTTGGAAGGATGACAGGACTGAGTGTCACCTCTCACACATTTAAAGCTGATGGACCAACACAAAGGCACAGTAGGGATGGGGGACAAAGACTACACAGCACATCCAGGACATCATAAATTCTATTCTAGCGGGCATAGACTTCTCAGGAACCCTTTGAAGCAAACCATTGAACTTGAGGACAATATGAGTTAGAAATAGACAAGGTACAGAGCAGGCAAAGGTAGGTCTTTTTTGGGTACGAAAGGAGGTAATATACTTGAAAATAGGTCAGTGATTAGGATTGGGAGAACTAGGTAATTGTAAGGCCCCTCCGGCCATGACTTTTTTGGAACAGCTCATGAGTCCGCCAGCCCTGTGGGAACAGGAGTCACCCCTTTTTCCAGCCTGAGGACTCTCGCACATCTGGCTCAGTCTACCCAGGGTTCTACTATCAAAAGAACTCTAGATGAATGTGGAAAGAACAGCCCACTCCATGTGTTCCAGGTCCTGGGCAGCTCACCTCTTAATGCCTCAAGAGCTACCTGTTCCTCTTGTCGGAATTATTATTTATATATGAATTTACATTGCATTTACTATATATTATTAACAACTATAATTTATTAAACATCTACAAGGAGCCAGCTATAACACCATGTACGCTTTCCTCCTATGATTTCCTTTCTTTGTGGCAATTTTGCAAAATAGGCATCACCAGCCCCCATGACAAGAGCAAGTAAGGCTCTCTGTGCTTTATCCCACGTACCGCAGCTGTCTGACTGCCCGACTCAGATCTGTCCGCCTGGCAGCAAAGCCTCTGTATTTCCACTATGCTATTTCTCTCAGTTCTGAAGTGCTTGATTCAAACATTTGAGTATGGACTCTGCATAGTCAAAAGATACTGAAATACAACCAAAGACACATTTATAATAACAGGCCTGGCTCCAATCCCACAGAGGTCAGGGTCTAGATGACTCCTGGGCTGGGGAGGCATGAATGACGCCCGAAGCAGGATCTCAGAGGACACCTGCTCCCACTCAGAGATGGACCAGGCGGCTAGTAAGGGTGGGGCAGTGTGATGAGAACAGTGATGCTCGTATCCGAGAATTCTGGGTGCGCACTGTCAAGGCCTTCTACGCTCACCACGCGGGCAGGTACTTCCTTACCCTTGTTACTCACACATGGCCAGTGGCTCCTCCTTCTGACAGTGTTCTTTCCCCATTTCTTCTCAGACATCGGGCTTTGCCTTCTCCTGCTGCCCACTCAGTCTCTTTCAATGTCTGCCCCTCATTTTTGCACTCTCTCCACATCGGATCTGACCCCCATCTCTGTCTCTGTACCTCTCAGGTGAGCTCATCCAGTTCCATTGCTTAAAACGCCATCTCCTCCCTACTGATACCCATGTTTGTATCCCTGGCCTCACCCCATCCTCTATACTCCTGGGGAGTGTATCTCATACCACTCCTACACTTCTAAAGACAGTTATTTAACTATACCTCAAACCGCTTATCCACAACTGAACTGCACTGTTTATTTCTGTCCCTAGACCTGTCCTTCCCAGTCTCCCAATTCTATAAACCACAACTCTACCTTGTCAGGCCAAAATCCTCAGAATCACTTTGAGACCTCTCATTCTTTCACACCCCAAATTCCAGAGATCTGCAAATCCTACTGGCTCCACCTTCAAAGCATTTCCACGTTCACCTCCATACAACCAGCCTGCCCCTTTATCAGCCTTTCTCCCTGGACAGCTGGTCCTTTCCCTCCCAGGCTACAAATGACAGAACATCCCGAGTGACAGTTGGGTCAGATCCAGTCAGGCCTCTGTCCAAACCCACCACTGCCTTCTCCCTCACACAGAACAGAAGCCAGTGCCTCCAGAATGACCCATGACCTCCACCCCACCCGCTGGCTCTTGCAGCCTGTCTTCCGTGGCATTCCGTCCTGCTCCTTCCGTTCCAGACACAGTGGCTCCTACACTGTCCTACAGCCATGCTGCATGGGCTCTGGCCCTGGGGCCTTTGCACTGCTACTCTGTCCCTCTAAAATGTACTTTCCAGACACCCGCCTGAGGCTTTCATCTCACCAATGATGTCTTTCCAGATCATATCTATGAAACGATATACCCCCATCTCCTCCCAAGAAGAGGACAAGTTGCCAAAAGGCGGAGGATGTGCCCTTCTCTGGTGTATCCTCTGGGCCTGGCACGAAGCCTGGCACATACTAGGTACCTGATAAATACTTGCTGAATGAATAGATGAGGCAAACCCCAGCAAATGTCATGTTCTTACCAGGAAGAAGGTATATGGTCAGAGAATAAAGCCCGACCTAGACAAACACAGATTTTAACAAAGGAGCCAGTCAAGTTTCAGCACTTCAAAGTGGCATCTGTGAACTTCGGGGCCTTCTAAATTTCAAAACTCTACAAGAGACTACTTAAAAAGAGAAGTGGATATAAAGTAAGTAGTTGCTTTTCCAGGGAAATATCCACAATCTTGACAAAAATACTCAAAACCAGTGGTTGTTCTGCAAACCACTGTGCAGAGACTGTGCGTGGACCAGGGGCTCACGCCCGACCCCAGAGAGCATTCAGATACCCAAGGAGGACAGGGATTTGTATTTTTAATGTGGATCCAAGCGCTCTGACGCATTTGAGGAAACATGCACTAGGCTGTGCTGTCCAAACTAGGACAACCCTGAGCTACAAGGCTATTTAAATTTTAATGCAGATTGGAAGCTTACTTTTTCAGGCACTGGAGTCACAATCCAAGGGCTCAACAGCTACCCGTGACTGGCAGCTCCCACTGTGGATGGGGTAAGGTCAGAACATTGCCAGCAATACATTCAGTTCATTCACAAAGTTCCCCCTAGAGGGTGTTTTTCTCCAAAATAATACTGGGGATCAAACCCAGAGCCTAGCACACTCAAGACCCTGGGGTCAGCCAGGCAGAGTGGTACACACAGTCTTGGCATTCTCAGAGCCTGAGGCAGAACGACTGCAAATTCTAGCCTCACCTTGAGCGACTTAGTAAGGCGTTGTTATCAAAATAAAAAATAAAACAGGGCCTGGGGATAGAGGCCAGCGCAAAGCCCCTGGGTTCAATCTCTAGGACCAGGGAAGAGGGGAAAGCACACAGGTATTAATACTATACTCGAATTAGGCTGACTAGATGATTAAATTACCTTGCTGGAATTCTCCCTCTTCACTGTGAAGATGTTTCCTCCCTTGAAAACAATGAAGTCCTATTGGCACAGTGGTATATGCCAGTAATTCCAGTGGAGGCAGAACAATGGCAAGTTTAAATCCAGCCCAGCGAGTATAAAAGTCTTTTAAAAGTAGGCTAGGGTACAGCTTAGTACAAAGGCCCTGAGATCAATTTCCAGTACTTGGGGAGAAAAGGAAGGCCATACCCTGGCGAACAGCTGGAGGTCTGGGAATCAGAAGGAGTAGGTGGGGGAGTGGGGCAGAAGGGTGAGAGACACCTGTTGCCCGTGGTCCTTCCCCAAACTCTGGGGCTGCAGCCCCAGGCAGCTGTCCCCATGCTGGCTTGGCTGTCACACCCTCCACGCTGAGGCTTCTTGTGAACTACCTTCTCCTCTTGTCTGCACCAAGGTCCATAGTGACTGGGGATGAGCAGGAGCCAAACTTGTAGGTGGCATAGAAGAGGTGCATTAGATTCTTTTAAAATTGTTTTTAAAGTGTTTTATTTAATTATTTGTGTATTTATTTGTTTCTTTGGTAGAGGGTCCCCTACACAGCTTGGACTTGTGGTGGTCCTCCTGTCTCAGCCTCTCCAGCACTGGGATTACAGGCATGCACTACCATGCCTGACTTCAGTGGCTGGCATAGCATGCCCAGGGTTCTGGGGCCAGCACAGCATGCTGTACTGGGGATTGAACCCGGGTCCTTGAGCTTGCCAGGCAGGCACTTATATGGCTGAGCTATCTCCCCAGCCCTGTGCTTTAAATTCCTGCAGCATTTCTTTTTCTCTAAATTGTTCTCTCAGCATTGTGCCCTCTGCTACCCTTCCTTGTACACTGGACTTCCCAGAGTGTGGCAGATGCTGGCAGATGGTTCAGGGCAAGGGTGGACCCCTCTGGCACTGGAAAGAATAGGAGAGACAGGCAAAGGTCACACACTTCAGCGGATGGCCTGCAGGGGCCACAACCGTCACGGCATATGACTTCTGCTGGTCTGGAACCTGACACAATGTCCCAGCTCGGCCAGGAGCTCTAAATGGGAGAAGCCAAAATCTCCAGGACCCCTGCCATCCTGAGCTACCCACTCATGCATTTAACAAGCCCCTGCTGTGTGCCAGCGCTTGCGGGGACACCTTCCCTGTCCTCAAGAAGCTCACAGTGCAACGGCCAACATGTAATCTAATGATTATAGCTATTTTTTAAAAATGCAAGATGACATGAGCTCTAATAAAACACATAAGGAGCACCATCACCCTAGGAACAGCTTTCTCTTAGAAGGGGACAGGAACATCGCTGAGGCAGCAACATCTGAGAATCTCACAGCTCACATCACCAAAAAGAAGTTGGGAGGCAAGACACGGGCAAGGTCCAATCTCAACACACAAAATCTGGAATCTCAAGCTTTCATTTGAATGTTTTTCTCTTCATTTAGCATAACAAGAGGTAGATAAAAACTATTTCTTAAGAGCATTAATTTAAAAAAAAAACACCATAGAAGAACTTACATTAACTTTAAAGGTCTGTACCAAGCCATCTAAAAATCGTATGCTGCAGAGGACTTCAGATCGAGCTTTCTCTTTGGGTAATTCCGAGGTGCGTATGTTGTTAATTCTTCCACCCAGCGCACGTAACCGGGAGGTCATAACTATTGCTGAATAACCTGTAAAGTAAGACATACCTGTTAGTTCCTTTATATGCCAATTACAGCTACCAAGAACGGGCCTCAGAGCCCACCCAATGCCCTGTACACCTGCTGTTGACGATGAATGGCTGACAAATCCCGTGGTAATAACAAATAACAAACTGTGTTTCCATTTAAGTTTGGCTTCTTAGAGGTAAAATTTACTGTTCAATTACAACATTCCCAGAGTTACACAGCTATTTGTCTGTTATAACTTTCACATCTATACCTTCTTACTCGAATTTGCCTGGCTTTAAACATTTTTTTTGGCGGAACCGGGGATTGAACTCAAGTCCTTGCACTTGCCAGGCAAACACTTATTCTACTGAGCTATCTCCCCAGCCCCTAAACTTTTTATTTACATCTTACTACCTAGGTGTTTGTGTATTCCACCCCTCCAATTTTACAGAACTAAGCATGGCATAAATAGGACTTAAAACTTGAAAAGATTTATCAATTGGATTATATTAAAATGACTTCTATTTATTAAAAAATAACATTCAGAAGTGCAAAAAGCAAGTCACAGAGTGAAAGAAGGTTTGTATACTGATCTCTGAAGACTCTATAAAGTGTTTCTATGACTCAATGAGAGAGAAAAAACCACCCAGTGAATGAACACAAGTACTCCGAGCTATTACCTGGCAAAGAGGTGCAAAGAGAAACCATACTCAGTGCCACAAACCGCAGAAGGAACTGTGATCAGGAAGATGAACACGGTGCAGCTCTCGCGCACCACTGAGGAAAACAAGCCAGTGCTACTTGTTTGAGAAGCCTAAGTCACATCGGCGGAGCTGTGCTCTGTGACACAGACACAGCCGTCCTATCCCTTGGCAGGTTTGCAATCAAAAAATGTACAGCTACTCACAAAAGGACACATATAAGAATTTTCCTAACAGCCTCCAACTGGAAAAGACATAAATGGCTATCACCTGTAGAATGGCCAAGCTGGTACCTGCACCACTATACAACAAAGAACCAAGTGCGACAGGCAAAACAATGAAACAATTTCTTCACTGTTGTCATGAGCAAAAGAAGCCACACAAGACAGCCTAGTGCATGATTCCTCTTGTATAGTTAAAAAAAAAACAAAAAACAAACAAACAAACAAACAAAAAAACAGGCAAAACTAATCGATGCTGACACAGGACTGGGATATTGGTTACTTCTGGGTGTATGGAAGTGGGGCAGAGATCTGGGATGCTTTCAACACCCCATGTCTTAGTGTGGGTGCTAATCACACTTCTGTACTTAGCCTGTGAAAGTCCAGGCACTGTATTTGTGTTTTGTATATTTTCTGTTTGCTATGCCTTGAATATGGTTTGTTTCCTCTAAAGTCCACTGTGATTGAGGACTTGGACCCAGGCCCGGCACTGTGGGAAGTGGTGGAAACCTGTGGGAGGCTGGGCCTAACAGGAGGTGGCCAGGTCATTGGAAGCTTGAGGTGTTTAGCCCCCACCCCCTGCCAGAGGCTGTTACAAAAAGCACAAGCCCCAGCCTGCCCCAGCTCTATCCCTCTGCTCCTAGCAAGTTGAGAGCGAAACACTGCTTCCTCCTGTGGGGGTTCCCACACTGTCACCCGCCAAGCTGTGATGTACTAAGAACCAAGTCAACCTCCAAAGTGAAATAAACCTCTTGTCTTCACAAGTTGTGTCAGGCATTTCACAACAGCGATGAAAAGCTGACTAATACCATGTTATATTTCAGTACCAACTTTGCTTTAAAAGATAAACAAGGATCCTTACATTGACAAAGAGGGAATTAGTGAGCAGCTTAAAACTCTGACCCTGGTATCTGGAATCCGGAAGGAGATGAGTTTGATGATACACCCAACGGCTGAGCGGCAGACTCAAAGATGGAAAAGGTGTGTAACGGAGCACACGGCCATGCCATGCAGGGGGCAGGGGCCACACTCCACACTGCTGCAAAACGCATACATTCATTCCTACCAGTGTACAGGACGGAGATGTACATGTGACAAGACAGGGTGGAAGAGCAGAGGCCCATGAAGGCCTGAGAGCAAACGAGTCCTCTATACACCTTTTCTGATGAGCTGCCCTTTGCCTATGCTGTTCCTTCCGTTGTGATGCCTTCTGATCCTCTTCGTCTAACTCCTAATCACCTGCTCAGCCAAGTACCACTCCCCATGGATATGTTCCCAGGTCTCCCGCAGCAGTCACAGGCTTGTTATAAACCCTCCACAGCACTCTTCATTTCATACTGGGCACTTGGTTTAACAGCCGCCTCTCCCACTAGACACCAAGCTCCATGAGGGCAGTAATCTGGTTGGGTTCTGCTCACTATATCTCTAACACCCATCCCTGGCGGGCTATCAGTAAACATCTGAAAGAACCAGTAAATGAAAGGCACAATGACTCAGAAAATGAAGTTATGCCTTATAGTGTGGAGGAGCAGCAGTACTGCCTGATGTGCCAACTGGGTCTGGTGGGCACAGCATGAGAGAGGGCTGGGCTGAGCGTGCGGGGAGCGGGGGAGGTCTGCCCAAGCTGCAGCACGTGCACAGAGCCCCGGGGATCTCATCCCAGTGCAGACCACAGTGGGGTCTAGCAGGGCCGGGTGGGGCCCGGGCATCTGCAGCTGTCTCCCAGCAGATGCCCCAACTAGTGAACCAGGGTTCACCCTGGGACAACAAGTCACAGATAACTGGAAAAGCAGCACCCAATGTCAGGGCAGGGCCAGGGATGAAGGGTTGTGAGCCATCAGCAAAGGGGTGACTCAGGCCTGGAAGAGAGCAGGACAAAGTAGAGTGAGGGCCTAAGGTTTGAGCCCCAGGGAGTTCCAGACACAGACTGGGCACAAGGAAACACAATGAGCACTATGTAGAATGTACATCGAGGAAGAAAGGGGCACACACCCATTTAAGGAGCTGCAGGTGCACCTACATTCTTCTGTAGATAGGGATAGGAACTCTCAAATATTAATAAAGAAAATTCCTAAGACCTGCGGTGAAAAAAAAAATCAACAATCATTTATAAAATTCCACCCACCCTACCACCTCCACCTTGCCCTTTTCAATAAAAATGTCATCAGGAAGCAGGGATGCGTTTTCTGAGTAATACAAAAAGTTATCACAAGACAACAAATGTGTTCCATAATGCTCTAACCCACATTGAATTCTAAATGTCAGTTTTGTTGCTTAGCTCTTGTCTAAGAATCCTGGGTGGGCAACTTTTTTTTTTTTAAGGTACAATGGAATCATCACAAGTGTGGTTTTAGTGGGAGGCGCACTCCACAATCACCTGGGGAACTTTAAAAAAAAAAAAAAAAGATGCCTGTGCAGCCGCACCCCATATGCTGCTTCAGCCCCTGCGATGTGGCACAGCAGGTGACATTCATTTTGGAAGGGGCTCCAAGGTAGGACCCGTGCCTGGCAGTCTAGGCCTGGAGGAGTCAGAGGGCTTTCAGGGAACCTTGGGGTATGCTTTGCATGATGGAGCTTAACATGGGGGCTCAGCAGAACACGAGCCGTTCATGGTGGGCATGCAAGAAAGAGCTGAGGCAGCCAGACTCACACAGGGACCTTGGACAGAAGCAACAGCGGTTTCCAACAGGAGACCGCAAGGCAGGTCTGTGCCAGCAGCCAGCACGCACCTGCGAACCGCTCCTCACTGGACACGCACCTGCGAACCGCTCCTCACTGGAGCAGCTCCTCCCATCTGTGCAGCCCGGGGCCGTGGCACCTACGCATTAATCACAGTTAGCAATGCTGCCCAGAGAGCTCACAAAGCCCATTGACCAAATACAAGCCAGAAAGACAGGGTCGCCTCCACCTCACATGGCTACATAAAGGGCTTTGGACCTGAGGAACCTAAAAAGAATGCCATAAAATAGCACTTCATGAGTTCTACAGAACCGCTTTTCCTACATTTGTTCCTAAAGCAAACCTTGATAAGAACGGGCCGGATGTTGAACCACCACAGAATTGAGCCATGCAGTGTTTTCAGATTGTCTTGTAACTGTATCTTAAACAATCTGGATGGGACAATGGACGCTGCTGACTAATTGCCCCGTTTCCTGTACCACAGCAATTGGAGAACTCGGGGTTTCTATGGCTTCCTTTATAAGCCTCTTAATTCTAAACAAAGCCACAACCCAAACAGGAACACATTGGCCTCTCTGACCACAAATGATCACAGCTGCAGCTGATGCCATTTTCAACAAGCAAGCTAAGCCTATTTGCATAATTAAAAAAAATTAAACAGTTACAGCTATACGGTATTCTGCACACAGCAAAAGAGGGTCTGACTAGGAACACTCCTGAATCAAAGATCTAATGTGGAAAACCCAGAAAGGAGTAACACCTCACTTCGCACCCAGAGGTGCAATAAATACTCAAAGAGCTACAAATAGCACCTGCAAAGTGCCTCACACAATGCACGACGCGTTTTATTTACATTAAGCTTCTGTTGCTACCAGGTGCTGACTGTAAATACCAGATTTTGTTGGGGTAGTCTGATTTTAAATACCTTACAGACAGTGTATAAATGCTTTGTTTCTTAAAAATTGTATTCACCTAAAGACAGCTTGCTAGTGTTAAAAAGCAGGTACAGACATACAATATCCATTTGAACTTCTCTACAGACTCAGAGGAGTCTGAAGCAAAAGAAGGTACACAAATTGTCCCGCACCGGTGCCTCCCAGTGCCCCAGGGCTGGAGGAGGGGGTCCCTGCTTTGCATTCTAAGGGTTGTCTGCGGGCTGATGCCTAGGACTGCTCTTTCACAAGCTAGTGAGCCTGACAAGAAGAAAGCAGCGGCCTGCCAACCCGAATCCCTCTGGATCATTTTAAAAGGAAGTGTAAATTATGCTATGCTCTTGTTTTTAAAAATGAGGAACTCAGACCTCAAATTCACAAATGCGAGTTTCAGCTTAAAAGGAGGAGGAAGAGGTGGAGGCAGAGGAGGCGGAGGAGGAGGGAGAGAGGAATGGGAGGGGAAGAGGAAGAACAAAAGGAGGAAGACA